ATATATATATATATATATATATATATATATATATATATATATATATATATATATATATATACATAGTTTAATCCGTTTACCGATCAGAATATTGGTAATACAACATATCTCAACAAATTAGAAATATTTTATGAAATGAGAAGAACCTGGTACTGGAAGATTCGAGAGAACACCATAACTGAGCACCGAAGGAGCTGAATATCGCCACAATGGGTACTGTACTCGAACTATTTGCATTTCCAGCATCGCATAATAACGGTGACCAGACAGCTGCTAGTGCTGTTCCTTGTGCATAACATTCCACATGCCGAACTCGATTCACCCGATTCAATAATTCTTAATTCCAGTAATTTTCATAAATGAAGAAGAAAATGGAAGTTGATGTGACCTTGAATAACAGTGAGTTATATTTTCGAAAAGTTATGTAATATTTGCGATTCATATTCGCGCTCAACAATTATAATTATTCACACAAATTATCTAGTTCATGATTAGTTTGAAACTTCGTCCAAAAATACGAAGAATTTTGTAAACTAAGGTATTCAAGCAACAACTGTACTAAACCTGGTCCATTCTTGACCTGAAGGGATACACGAAATGTGTGTGTTAATGAGCCATTAGCATCGTCCAAGTGAAAAGCAGCAATATCACCACTAAAAACAGCAAAAATTATTTGGAAAGTTTTCAAGACTTCAAATGCTAACTAATTTATAAGTTTCTAACAGTCATACTTTTTACATCCATAAACAACCAATCGATATTTGTGGTTCGCTGCGGCACAAACAGCATCGTTTAATTGCACTGCCCATATTCCTAAGAGTTCCTGAAAATTATTAACATCATAGAATTAAACTTGAATACACTTCAAATTAGTAAAAAAGAAGCAAAATTTGTAAAAATTATTACACTCTTCTCCTCCGTTACAGGAAAAGGAACCAAACAGACATTTAGTGTCGTTTCTCCCAGTTATGGTGTTGCAACCGTACCTTGGGATATGGTCTCATGTCTTTGCTGAGAAAAAAGTTCACGTTACCTTGTCATACATTATTGCTTGGAAAATTAAAATAGATGATGAATTGGTAACTATTAATAAAATATGGATGACTCAAGTGTTACCTTTGGAAGAAACCTAGATGAAGGTGATGTCAGCAAAGCAGCAGTACCATTAGAAAGCACTATACAGAATCCACCGATAAGAGGAGCATATGCCATATCAACAACATGCACGCCCAATTCTTGTACATGTTCAGCTGAAAAAATAAATGTAGAAGCAGGAAAAGATATTACCAGAAAAAATTTTTAAACAGTGACTCGATCATTTCTGAAAACAACTGTTATAAGGAATACTATAATAACTGGATTAAATTTGAAGTAACTTTGCAAATCATTAAACCCTCAATTTCACTTCTCTTTTTGTGTTAGCTTACTTTTGGACTGTAACTGGTCGACAGAGAATGGAACATCGAGTAAATGAAACGAGGAAGTTTTATCAACAACACCTTCCCATGATATGCGATGCAACCAACCATCTTGCAAACAAACAAATAAGTCATCTCGAAAAGGCACAATACTAAAAAACATAATAAGCTTAAATCATCCTGTCCTGAGTTTAATTTTTGATAAATTTCGAAACATCTGAAGTGAGAATTCCAAATACGTCTGACTCCAATAAATTTACATAAACTAAGTGCATTAGGTTTATAAATGTGATTTCGTATGATAAACATTTACTTATATAATTTCATTGTAAAACATTTTAATTTCTAGGTTAGCACTTTAGAAATACCAACCATGTTGCTGGACTTTCAAGTCGTGCAACAACCGATAAATACGCCGCAACTTTTGGTCTTTTTTCATGGATAAACAGTTCTTGCGAAGTACGCCTCAAGTGCTCTTCACGTGGTTCAGTTAAATTGAAAGATTGTTTATCTGATGATATTTCCAATCGATACAACAATAAGCAATTTTTCGAAGTCTGAAAAACTAAGGAATACTCACTATTTTTAGTTTTGATGACCAAGAATGATGTTCCTGTTCAGTTACTTAGTTTAACACATTCACTGCTTATGCTATTTTCGACTTCCATCCTTCGTAAATTTTTTTAAAAAAAGTAGAAACAAACCGTAAGACAAATTGCAGAGGAGTCATGTCGCCAATAAACTTTCCGATATTCACCTTTTTTCTTCACATCTTCTTCAGATCGTCTGAATGAACAAAGCAACAGCTGAGGCTAAAATAGAAAAAAGATTTCACATTTAGTTACTAAACATCTGAAACAAAAACACTTGAAAAATGTTACAACTTAAAGTTTTTTCAACAAATTTTGCTCTCTTGAGATACTACAGAAGCATAGCATCAAAACAACTGAAAGAATATTAACAATATCTCCGAAAATAAATATTTTGTCATTTTTCTAATAAAAATAACAAACTAATAACAAGTTGTTTTTTGGTGAATCATTTTCTCTATATCGTCATCAGTTTTGATCCTCTGAATCCCAGCAGTTTAAAATAACTATTAATTAAAAAGCAAGGGAACTGACATGTGCTAGATATATGTATAAAATAGATGAGGTAACGGCAACAAAGAGCGTCTTATCACGATTTCCGACGACGCAAAATACATGCAGTTCTTGATTTTTATCACTTTTACTGCATCCTGGTAACCGTAAGTTATGTTCGCTACCATCCTGAAAAAGCCAAACAAGTATCACCTTTGCAACACTAAGTTTATGAAATCTTTCCCTTGATAAAATTGCAAAAATTATTCCCCAATCTATAAGCAGTTCCGCAACTGTTTTGAAATGGATGATAGGAGAATGTTAACACTAAAACTGCTTCATAGCAGTTTCGATAATGGAACAAGATCGAGAAAGATGATAACTAAAGACCAACATAATGTACGTCATACCAATACGAACCAGAAGATAACCAAATGAAACATGGAAATAACAACAGAACACTCAAGCTTCAAAACTGAAATTAGAAAGAGATGGCAAATATTCTGTGTAAATATCTAAGATTTTGGGAGAACATTTGAATACAATAAAAATGAGCAGAATAAATGGAACGATTAGGATTTATTATGCATAACAAGTACAAATACTAAGCATGTCATCAAGCATAAGGCTGATGAGATAACAAAACCTTGAGAATTAATAGTTCGTGTAAATAGCGCATTTAAAAATAAAGTGGAATTACCAAAACAATGACAAAGAGAAAATGAAAAGTAACAACAGTCCGATGTTAACATATCATCATTATTTTTCCATGTAGAATTCCGTACGCTTCTCGATCGTATTCCAACATACATATTCAAAATTTTCCATTATGATCACGATATTATGGAAACAATAATGACGATAAAACTGATAACAACATTCAGAAAAGCGCATGAGAGAAATTATTTCACCGACTCATATGCTTTATTTGAGGATTAAAAGCAGTGACGATTTGGTGGACTATGTAAAAGGCACATACTAGTAATTAATAATAATAATCATAACAATAATAATAGTTAATAATAATAATAATAATAATAATAATAATAATAATAATAATAATAATAATAATAATAATAATAAAATAATAATAATAATAGATAACAATAATAATAATAAACAATAATAACAATAACAATAATAAATAATAACAAACAACAATAATAAATAATAATAGTAACAATAATAATATTAATAATAATAA